GGATGTTGATTCTGCAGAAATTGCACTAGTACTAACACTCTAATTGCTGCAAGGAGGAAACCATACATCTCTACGAGCAAGGCGAGGCAAGTAACTGTAAGAATTGAGTCAGTTCTCCTGTATACCATGCATTGGAAGCATCATGCATTACATGGATTGAGTTTATAAGTTTTGGAATTCAATTCTTTGATTCTTTGCTAAATTTACACAAGATGGAAGCACTTGTCATTTGTATACTTGATGGATTAAGTTTTGTCATTGCCATCGTTGCGATGGACATGTAATATATGTATTTGTAAAACTTAGGCGAGATCACAAACCCATTAAATAGACCAATATTTGATTTGATACCTCATAGCTGAATACTTCATAGATGTGTATAACAGACAGGCCTTAATGATTAAAAACTTAAATTTTTATATTAAAAATAAAAATATTAAATTTTAAATTGAGTAAAAAAGAGTGTAAAATTTGAAAGACTATCACTTGTTACATAACTTATAATTTAATTTACTAATAAAATGTCTTTCTAGTTCTCTCTCTTTAATTACTTTCCCATGCATCTTAATAATGACCTCACAATTTTATCATTTAGATGTTGGTTTACATTATTTTGAGGAGCCACTGATCACATCATCTCTAGTTAATTTTGACTGAGGCCGCATGCCTCTGCCCTCAAGTACCCTCCCCCCCTAAAAATAAAAAGATTATGATGATATCAGGTATATAGCCAAAGCTTGGAACCAAATTTGGCACTTACCCATTTTTAAAAGCATATAGAAGTTTTGGATGCTTTTTTGATACGGAAGTTTGGATGCAGTTGAGTATGGAAGAAGACTAGAAGCGTTGGTCACCTAAGCATCTTTAATCAATTAGCAATATATTGCATACCATCTCTATTATTCATGGAGTTTGCTTCAAGTTTTTCTCATCAAACCTAATGAAATGATGACAAATTCTTGGAATCATTGTGATTGAAATGAATGATGTTGCTGAATTTGAGTGGAAGATATAGGAACTTTCGAAATTGGAAAGCTGTTAAGTGTTAACTGTTGATTTCTGAGGACTATAATTATTATTTATTAACCCCAAAGGGTAGATTTATCCTTAAGTAGCTATTGATTTATATAAGTTCAGGTGTTATTAGGTTCAAATTTTGGGATTAACATCTAAATTCGTTGTTAGTCCAATTTAGGAGATGCACTTTTAATATTATTTACGAATGAATAAATTTTACCATAAGTTAAAATTGATTTGAAAATACTTTAATTATTCAAACATAAGAGTTTTCATATTTATTATTATTTTTAGGCTAGATTGATCGCAATCAAATCCCGTAACTGATAATTTTTACTGTTTATAATTGAAACTCTTATGGTTCAATTAGAGAAAGGATTTGTTTAATTTATGCTTTAAGTCTCATTAATTATAATATTTATAATTAATT